TGAGGGACAAAGGTAGGAGTGGTAGGAGGATGTTGTTACGCAGTTTAGAGTAGCTGGAGACTTGGGATACAATCACACATAAAGCGATGGCAATGGCAAGTGCTAGAATTCCTGCAGTGCAAATTCCCAAAGTCAGTTCAGGGATCTGTTCTCACTTGTGCTCTGCATTCAGAACCAGGCTGCAGTTTGCACAGAGGCTAACCCCTGCACATTGAGGACATCTGAGGTAGCTGTTCAGACTCCCTTTACAGACGATGATAAAAAGGTGTTTGCAGGTATAAAATAGGTACAGTCCACCTATTCTTATGGTGGACATCTATGGAAGGCCAGACAAGCTGTGTTCTACACATGCTCAATTTGCTGTTTCCTGTAAAAAAAGAAACCTGCCTAGCTCCACGAAGCACAAGCATGTCCATAAAACAGCAGACAGACTCTCCCAAACAACACATTTAATAATTCAGAAGGAATTGTCCAGTATTGCTTAATCATGTGGGAAAGCCTTAGCTTTCCTTGTGGAATTAGGAATAGATGGAAAAGTTTTGCAGAGTACATGATGGGTACAGGACATCCTCCAGCAGTTCAGTGAAAGATCAGGTGGGCAGCACAGAGACAGAGAGCTCCAAGTTCCTTAGACTGCTTGAACTTGATTTTGCATATTTTCTGATGCTCTCTAGTGCCACAGTCTCTCTTTCTACAAAGATACATAATGGTATACGTTGAGTGGATCTAATATAAGAGAGCACAGGCAGGCTAACAAAATTTTGCTAGATGTTCCACTCACTGGACTCTACTCCCTTCATTTGGAGCCAAGAATGGGATGCAAGATTCTGTACTGCAAAGACAGCTCTTGAAGGGCACAGGGTTATCAGGGTCCACCTTGTAGTATGAATATGATGTGCTTGCTCGCTGCTGATGGGCTGGAGCATTGGCTTGGCCAGGGCATTGTCACTGCATGTAACACCCTGAAGAGCTTCTGACTGGGAAACCCAAGAAGACAGTCCCTGTGAGGTCTGAGATTCAGAGCAAGCATCTAAGGTAGCACATACAAGGGTGTATTTGTATGTTGACGTTATTGAATGAACTTTTCAGCCTGATATATTCTGTACAGAGATATATTCAGAGTATAATATATACAGCTTATAGATATAGATACATAGCCTCAAAGCATGTAGCCTCGTGCTTTGAGATAATATATCTGTAGTTTTTTAATCCATCATGTGACTTTCTGGGCCTAAGGCAGATCTCTAGGAAAACCTGGCTAGTGTGGGGAGCTACCTGTGCTGGCAGCAAGGCTTTCAGAGCAGTTTACCATACATGTCTGTCAGTCTGCATGAGTTGAGAGCTAAACACTCGGTCAATGCTTCTCTGTTGGAAGTGTTCCCAGGGGAGCGCAAGCCAACTTTTTCCCATCTTGCTTCCTCAGGAAGGGTAAGGTAGAAACTGTGTCTCTCACCAAACAGGGGTTACATGGACATGGCAGAACAGATGGAGAAAGGGAAAGGCACTTCAGGCAAGGGCCTTGTGACACGAGCCTGTCAGGCTATTGACAGCTTTACTTGTGGAGCATGGAAGACAGTGTTTGCCTCTGCCCAAATTAAAAGTGTGGTTCAAACCCTTCCCCTAACACTGTGACCCTACGTTGAGCTCACTAAGATGAAGGACAGCACATCTTGTTCAAAAGCAGGATTTTTTCCTCCCACAGGGGAGGGCTGGATATGCTGCCCGAAGGGCTGGAAACGCTTTCAAGAAAAGTGTTATTACATATCAGATGACAAGATGAGCTGGACTGAGAGTGCACAGAACTGCACTGGGATGGGCTCCCACCTGGTGGTGATCAACACCAAAGCAGAGCAGGTACGTGCAGGGCTGAGAGAGGGGCACAGCAGCTAGAGCCACAGTGCCAGGCCCTGGAGGGGACTCAGAGCCCCTCCTTGCTCCTGAAGGGGATGGGGGATGTCCTTTCTGCACCCCTTCAGCACTGGCTCCCCTCTGCCACCAGCCCCCACCCCAGGGACTCCTGCTGCCTCCCTCTGCTCAGTCCTGCACTTTATTGACATTGTGATTTTTCCAGGAATTCCTCTTCAACTTGGCAAAAGGAGTAGTTACTAATGCCTATGAAACAAAATACTACATAGGCTTAACTGCTTACGAAAATGGGCAATGGCAGTGGGTGGATCAGACTCCATATAAGAAGGCAGCCACGTGAGTATCCCAGGGGGAGTGAGGAAGGTCCTGTAATTCACATCCCTCAGCCCAAGTGACCGATACACTGTGTAACGCAAGTATGTGTCAGAGAGGGGTCTCTATCCCTAACTGCCTATGTCAGAAAACTTGACTAGTTTTCTAGTCAAAAGCATGACTAGTCTTTGCCTTGCCAGAGCTCCTGGTCTCTGTTACAGTAACCTTCCCCTTTCTCTTCCACAGCTGTTTGAGGTGGCTTCACTTCCATTCTCATGCATTGCCAACAGAGGAACTTTCTTTTACAGGTTCTGGAAACCCGGGGAACCCAATTTACTCTTTGCAGAAAAATGTGCTGCAATTCACATCAAGGGAAACAGAGACTCCAACACTTACAGTAACTGGAATAACATCATTTGCTTCACAAATTGCTATCGCATTTGTGAACTGGCAGTCAAATATGTCTGAGGAAGGAAACTCCACTTTGGATGAAGGACCTGAAGGAGTATCCTTGAGAAAGGGCAGCTCATGAAAGAGCTGATGAAAAGGTGGTCAGAACCCACACAAATGCTTTATCTTGCAGTGTATGATGTATGGATGAGCAAGCCTGCCACAGAATCCCACCTCTGAAGGACCTCAGTTCCCAGCCTGTGCCCCTGCATCTCTTTCCAAACTGAAGATCAGCCTTGGATGAAATCACTCAGGCTGATGTCAAGGATCTATTGTGCCCCTTTTCACTCTCCTCCTTCGTAGATGGGTGCCCTGGTCCTCCAGTACTTTCCTTGACTCCAGGTCCAGGTCAATGATGCCAAAAAGGCCCTCTCTCTGTTTCATGAAAGGATACTGGTGCTACAAGTCACTGGAGCAGAATTTGAAAGAAGAGCATTTAGGGGAGCATGCTTGGCCCACCCCTGAAGGGAACAATTATTCATGGCTTATCTTTAATGTGTCCTTCTTCCTTCAGCATATTCTGTGTTGATAATTTAAAAACCCCATATCAATAAATGTTAATTCTGCTCTTTGCATGAGGTTGTCTTCTGAGTGAAAACTCCCAGCCCCCCACTAACCCAGCCTCTCTGCATGGCGGACTTAACTTTTCAGTCTGTTTGGCACCTGCAGGTGAGACTATTACTGCGAGTGTGCTGGACTGGCCAGGAACAGGAACAACCTAGTGTTCATCTGCAGAGCACCTCCAAACATGTGAGAAAGGCTGTGAAACCTTTTGGAGAATAATGTGTGAGGGAAGCAACAGAGCAGGCTGTGTAGCAGTCAGTGCCAACAATTGTTTGCCCAGGATGTAGCAGAAAGGAGATGGATTTTGGAGATCCTGCTGAGACATGTGGCAATGAAGGAAAGAGAGAGCAGTCAAATATCACATGAAGGACCACATGAAGCCACAGTCTCCCCAGGAGGGATTTCTAATGTGAGAAAGGGGTAGAAGACCCCTATCAGAGGCATCACTGCAAATCAGACATATAGAAGTCGTGAGCAGGTGCTCTGCTTCCCCCAAATTCCCCAAACTTCTGTCTGTATATTCCTCCCCTTTCATCAATGATATCTATGCCCCTGAAGAGCTGGGAGTTTCTAATTCGGGACTAAAAATACACCCCAAAAAATCAGTTCTGGGTGATTTTTTTTTTTATTCATCAAAAAACTGAGCACAATTTTATGTCATTTCCACCCGAAGCAATGTATTTGCCAGGTTCCTGTTTTAGGCATTGAACCATAAGCTTGGCTGTTGCAAGGTCTTGGTCTCCTATTTTCTAGAGTTGCTGGGATCTTTTCACAATGGAGAAAACTTTGTTGTCCTGTCCAACAAGAGGGCAAACAGAAACATTGCAATGGACTTCTCTTTATGATTTCCCCCAACTCAGTTCTGGAAACCACAGCAGCAGGGTTTTGAGGAAGAAAAAGAGGCAGATAAGACACACATAGCATGACCAGTATTTTACAGGAGCTGCAGTTCTGGCTTCTGGGAGGTGGTATCAGACAGAGCAAAACTTGCACCAGGAGACTGGTTTGCAAGAAAACATAACTTGCTAGAAACAGTCTCCATGCCCCAACTTTGGAACGCAAATTTTTTCTTGAGAAGTCCTGACAAAAGAGCAATCTTGGGAGATGATATTGGGTTTGCCTGCAAAAGTGCTGAAGCGAGGTTCCTGATCCCATGCCCCTGCAAACACACACACGTGCACATACACACACACACTACATGCATACATGAGTACAAACCTATTCTTTTACATTAGTTTTACAATACAGCAAATGAAGGTAGACGGAAGAATTGGTCTCTGTCCCTGCTTTGTGCAGCCACTGTTGAAGGAATAAGTGGTAAAACTCTGAGTAAGCGTTTCAGCCATGTCTCTGAGCAGAGCCGATGCCCTTGACTAGTCCATCTCAACAGCAGTACTCAGGTTTAGGTGGGGATGGACTCTGTACACAGTAGGTGTTTGCATAGATGTAGAACAATGCCTTCCACTTATTTTATTCCTCTTCAATACGGATTTAACTGAAAGAGGTGCTTTTCTCTAACATATGAGGAACAGGCATTATGTCTCAAGATGGTTCAGGAGGCAGCAGATGACATCGCAAGAGGCAGAAGTAAAGTTATACAGCCAGGTATAGCACTTTTAGAAAGCTTCAGAAGTACAATCCCTGCATATTGAACTAGGAAGTTAGGTAGAAAGGACAAAAAGTTTATCGGATTAGCATACTTCATAATGTCATTTGTAGTCTTTGTTTTCAGGTGGGTATCCTGGCCACATCCCAGCTGTCCGTCAGAACAAGACCTGAGTGCTCACCACTCCTTGGCACATTAACTTTTCCTTTGGAAAGGAACTCAGGTCTGAGGATAGGGAAGGAGCCACAGTGACATTCACTTCTGAGGACACATACACTGTAGATATGGTCTGACTGGAACCAAAAAATCTGTCATGGTTTGAACCTGAGCTAGCTTCTGGTTTTCCTCAAGAAACCCTGTGATGCCCAGTCTTTGAGATGCTGTCATCAGCTGCAAAAAACATCAGAAGAACCATATTGGAAGGGCAGCCTGGGAATACACATCATTCTCCTGCGTATTGTTTCTTTCTGCAGAGGAAAGCATAGCCAGCTCTTCCCACTCCCTCAGTCCTATTCTGCACGTCTATTAGAAATTTCCCAGTGGGAACCTTGTTGTGGGGGAGGTGGTGGTATGTCCTGCTAGTTTTGTCCCACTGGCTCAGATAGCAGCCTAGGTTGAAAGGGAGGTTGGTTTTCTTCCTGCTGCTGGAAAGCACTATGTCCATTGATGGCATCATCATCAAAAGACGGAAAGAAAATGCCAGGCATCACTGGGGAGAGAGAGAGAAGCAAGAATGGGAAAGAAACACTGCTGAATTCTGTTTTTAGAAAACATGTGTATCCTATGTGAGCTGGTGCGGAAGATGACATTCATTATGTCCATGGATGGCATTAGGCAGGAGGAGGCAAGACTGGTGCAGGTACTGTCACCTGGCTTGTAGGATCAGCAATGGTGAGGCCACACCTGGAATACTATGTTCAGTTTTGGGCCCTTCACTACAAGAAGGACAGAGGAGAGCAACAAAGATGGTGAGGGGTCTGGAGCACCAGTCTGATGAGGAGCGGCTGAGGGAACTGGGGTTGTTTAGCCTGGAGAAGAGGAGGCTGAGGGGAGACCTTATTGCCCTCTACAACTACCTGAAAGGAGGCTGTAGCGAGGTGAGGGTTGGCCTCTTCTCCCAAGTAACAAGTGATAGCATGAGGGGAAATGGCCTAAAGTTGTGCCAGGGCAGGTTTAGATTGGATATGAGGAAAAACTTCACTGAAAGGGTTATCAGGCACTGGAATGGGCTGCCCAGGGAACTGGTCGAGTCCTCACCCCTGGAGGTATCTAAAAGACAGGTAGATGAGGAGCTTAGTTACCTGGTTTAGTAGTGGACAGGTACGGTTGGACTCAATGATCTTAAAGGTCTTTTCCAACCAAATGATTCTATGATCACATGTAAGAGGAGAGATGGTGCATGGTCTATTGCAGTATTAGTGTATTCACCCTCTTAAAATAATTCCCTGTTGCCTTGGAGAGCACTGGCACATGCTGCCTTAGCTACCTTCTCCCTGTTCTAACAGCTGATTCTTCTTTATAGGATACATCTGTCTGTCCCTAATAAATGATAATCCTTGCCAAGCCAAGTGAAGAAATAAAATTAAATATATATGTTTTTCATGACAGCCACTGTCTTAGTTTTAAGGACTTTTCTATAAAAATTTCCTTCAAGGGTCTCTGATATTTTTCTATACAAAGCAGGGATTTCCCCCCTACTCTTTTTCACTTTTTCTCTCTTCTATGTCACTTCAATTTCTTCCATGTTCCTTACAACATTTATTCCTCTACTTTTTATATTTCTTTGCACTTCTGCTGTCTCTGTTTCCCCATTTATTCCTTTTTTTTTTCTTTTTAATTTGGTTTCCTTTTACCTTTTTTTGCTAGACCACAAATGAGGAACGTACAATGTTGTTTTGAGAAATAAAAGAGAGAAATGGCATTTAAAAGTCTTCTGACACTGGAAACACATCTATTCTGGATTTTAAAAGTTTATAAGAAAAGAGGAAAGAGGAGATTATTGAATATGTGAAACTTGCTATTCCTAGGCACACTGATAATGAGAAGTAACACTCAACCAAAAACTTTATTTTGCAGTGATTTGCTGTGATGGTACAAGCTATTTAACCATTTTTCCTTTTCTCCAACCTACTCCTATAACTCTTAGATGTCTGGGTAGGTCCCCACAGAATTAGTTACTAGTATACCCTTAGCAGAAGGCAGAAGGCAGTTCCTGCCCCGAAGAGCTTGCAGTCTAAATGCAACGGAAAAAGTAAAGGAGATGAAAAATAATGGGCAATTGAACTGAAACTGCTATGTGTGAACTGTAAGTTAGAGTGGCATAAGGGAACCACTCTCCTGTGATAGGGCTTGTGTTAGGTAGGCTGAGCTTCTACTGAACTGGAGTTGCTACACCAGGAATCACGGTTTGTACCATGCTGCAGTATGCTACCAAAAGTAACCATCGCTCTGATAACTCACCCTCCTGAGCCACCGACATCTTCTGAGCAAGTCACGGATCAGGGAATAGGATCTCCACACAATGGTGGGCATCAGTGCCCAGGAGCATGTCTGTCTGTTTCAACCCCTTTGGCGTTAGTCTGGTTTTGCTGGGCAAAAGAGTTCTTACTGTGTGTCCCTGAACAGAGTAGCCCTGCTGTGTCCCTTTCTTGGTAGCTTGAATTGAGTAGTGAGTCGCCTTCGAGCCTCCTGTTGGCTGTAAAATACCCCTTATACAGTAGGCATGTGAGCTCTCTTGGGGCAGGCTGGTCATGTTTGCTGTGCAACTTCTTAATGCCAGGTTTTTCTTCAGGTAAAGCCAGGGTTGGCTGAGCTAATATGGATGCTATCATGGCAGTGGCCTGGTCACACTGCTTGTGAATTACTGGATGTTTGCATACATTCCTTATCTTGAAAGGTTCATCATCTGGTACAAAGCAGAAAGACTAGACTAGTAAAAGCGTTAAGACACAGTGTTTGCATTGGAACCAAAGATGACAGTGGAGAAGAGAGCCAGGTGTCAGCATATTGCTGATGCACTTGCAACTTCTTGCAGGGACATTGTTGCAACTCTAGTTTTGATAGTGGTTTAAGAATTTCCTGTTTCCACCCTGGCATCTCATTACCCCCTCTGTTCTGCGGTTAGCTGTCCCATCCCTAATGCTGATACAAGTGTCTACTGTGCTGTGTTGCAACTTGATAATAAAAAAAAAAATATATGGGTCTAAGACCACTGGTCTTCTCTCTTTTTTTTTTTTTTTTTTAATGGAGAAGAAAAATAATTCTTATTC